GGCACTGAAAAAAAAAGTGACTCGTGACCGTTTTGCACACCTCTACAACATCCCCAGGGTCACCGTGATCAAAATTCGTAACATATTCACTCATATTTATGACAGCTGCAATGTCGTCAATGCAACTTATGACCGTTGCAAGCTGCACTGCACTTTTTGGAATATTGGCCGTTAACCCCCCACCACTCCCCATCCGCTATATTAAAACCTAAGTTAAAGACAGCTTTGTGATACCCTGGATGTCAAGACCTAAACCAGTAGGCTGCATATCAGGTATGCTTTTAATTGTTTTACTGAATACACAACTGGCTGGTATGTACACATTGCAACTTGCTACACTGGCATTTGGTAGTGTTTACTTTCATGGCTCTATATTACGATTTAAAGACAACATTCCCTCATCACAAACGCCTTTTTCGCCGAGCCCTGAAGGCCCATCTATTCCGTGCGGCCGGCCTGGCGTAGTTTGATTGTGTTTCAGTGGGGGGTTTTTTACGGGTATGTTTTTAGAACAGGCCTGTTATTTAATTCGATTTTAAAACAAACTATTTATTTATTATTGTGGTTTTTAGTATCGCCTGTTCACCGCCCTGAGTCCCGCAAGGGAGATAGGGCGGTATATAAATTTAATAAATAAATAAATAAATAAATAAATAAATAAATAAAAGGAAACTATATTGCAGCTTAGCAGGTTGACTGAACGAGCCTGTAACTAATTTACAGGCAACATATTGTTTATTTCCAATATAGACCGATTGCTAACTTGTCACAAATCCGTCAGTGGGTCACTACCTTATACTGTAGCCCTTCCTGGCTTGACTTCAGCTTTTCTTGGAAGAAGAAAAAAAAAAAGAACTGTAGCCCTTGTTAACCTAGCCAGTAGCATTAAAGGATAACAATAACAATAACAATAAAATAAACACAGCTAGTAAAGATACTCTGTTCCTGTTCTTGAGTGTGTCAACACACAAATGCTTTCAGGGTCTCAAGGGCAATGCTGCACATTTGTAATGCAATTTCTAGGGGTGAGGAAAAGCTTTTTCCACCCCCCTCTCATTTAAAGGCTCTCTTCCTTGTTTAACCCACTGAGACCCCCCCACACACACACTTTTTCAAACTGGCAGTCTTATGTTTAAGCGTGGCAATTCCAGCGATGGGATCCTTTGCAAGGTCGGAACTAAGAAAGCAGAGAGAGGAGAGCAGGGGGGTTCAAACCGGAAGACACCCCACCTAGGTGCCATTCCAGGGGGGAGCTGGGGTGTGTGTGTGTGTGTGTGTGCCGCCCAGCCAAGCCCAGCCCAGCATGCAAGAGACTGGGGTTATGCAAGGGAACTTCACACCTTTAAGCGTAGAAAGCCCCTTTAGTGCAACAAAGCAGAGGGGTCTGAGCTCCGGGGTCTGCTCCCAAACACAAGGGGCTTTCAGGCATTCCCCCCCCCAATCCCCCACCCCAAAACAGCATCAGGAAGCTGGCGGATGAAGAGCAGGCGGTGCCTCCCTGAGTTGTGGTCGAGGATTGGCTGGCAGAGATTTTTTTCTCGCCTTGCGCTGAAAAAGGAGGGGGGGGGCACAAGACAAAGCCAGCCCCTTGTTCTGAATCTTTGCAGGGGTTCCCCCCCCCTCTCTCTCTAGCCCCTGAATAAGGGAGAGGGCTCCCCCCCCTCTTTAAGGAAAGGGGGAAGAAACGGGGAGACTTACACCCCCCCCCATGTACACTCTGCAACAAGCCCGAAGCGCGGCTGGCAAGGCCTACGCGCTCCTTTCCCCGGTTTACGAGGGGGGGGGAAAGAGAAGGGTTCCCCCAATGCACCCCAGAAGGTGCATGTGGGGAGAGGGAAGAGTGGTGAGGGTCTGGCAGGGGGGAGGGGGCGCAGGGCCCAGCCCGGGATGGGGGAGCAATGGAGGGGAGGGGCGGCCAGGCCCTTTTGGTGGTGGTGGTGGGGGGGGGGAGACACTTAACTGTTGCCCGGGGCGTTGCTGGTGGCGGCTGCTGCTGGCGGCTCCCCCGTTTCAGGCAGAAGCAGCTTTTCATTGCCCGGCAGGGCGGGGACCGGAGCGGAGGAAGAGGAGGAGGAGGAGGAAGGAGGAGGAAGAGGAGAAGAAGAAGAAGAAGCGGCAGCGGGTGGGAGAGAGGAGGAGGAGGAGGAGGAGGAGGCCCGGCGGGGCCCGCAGGAGGCGACGGTCCTTACCGGGCGTGCAAGCGCGAGGCCCCCCAGCCCCGGGCAGATCCCAACCGTCAGCAGCCGAGAGCGAGGGCGGAGGAAAGCGGCGGCCGAGGCGAGCTGACACCGCCTCCCACCCAGCCGGGCGCCGCTCCGACGAGCCGCCGCCGCCGCCGCCGCCGCGCTCGCTGGAGCACAGAGCCCCCTGCCTCCCGGAGCCCGCACTGCCGCCGCCGCCGCCTCGCCCGGCCTCCCCCTCGCCGCCCACCGGCCTCGGGCAGAAGCGGCGCGGCCAGCCGCAGCTCCTCCGCCCGCCCGGCCTCGCTCGCTCCGCCGCCGCCGCGCGCCCTGGGCGCACCAAAGCCTCTCCAAAGCGCGCCCGGAGCGCGCCAGGCGGGTTGCGCGAGGGAAGGAGAGCCAGCCCGGCCCATCCGCCGGGCCCCGAGCGGGAGCGCGCGGCGGAGTCCCCGGGAGGGGAGGGGGAGGCGCGCGCGCGCGCGCACCAACCCGCGCCGGCTTTGCCGCCAGGCTGCCAGGATGGGAAAGGGGGTCTGTCTATCCATCCATCCACCCATCCATCCATCTATATCTACCATCTATCTTCTATCATCCATGTATCTATCTGTCTGTCTGTCTGTCTGTCTATCTATCTATCATGCACTCAAATTGTCTCTCCATCCATCCATCCATATCTATCTATCTATCTATCTATCTATCTATCTATCTATCTATCTATCTATCTATCTATCTATCTATCTATCTATCTATCTATCTATCTATCTATCTATCTATCTATCTATCATGCACTCAAATTGTCTCTCCATCCATCCATCCATCCATCCATATCTATCTATCTATCTATCTATCTATCTATCTATCTATCTATCTATCTATCTATCTATCTATCTATCTATCTATCTATCTATCATGCACTCAAATTGTCTCTCCATCCATCCATCCATATCTATCTATCTATCTATCTATCTATCTATCTATCTATCTATCTATCTATCTATCTATCTATCCATCCATCCATCCATCCATCCATCCATCTATCTATCTATCTATATCCAGGATGCGAAAAAAACAATTAAACAGCAATATTTCTGCTTCTTTTCCATCCCTAGTAAATATTCTAACCAAGGTATAGGAATTAATCTAAACCACAGTTTTTCAAGCACTTCTGTATAAGTTGTAGCCATTCCACTTTCTCCTCTCAAATGCGACTGTCTTACTTTGCTATATTAATGGTCAACTATATACACCACATGGTCACTTGTTGCATCATATAATCTGTCTAACATTTGCTGCAAATTACTCAGATTGTCTGCCAACAACACAGCAGCACTACACACAGGCCCATTCACATGTCTGCCCACACAGTTTTGTGATCACCACAAGCATTCCTTGTATTTCTTTTTCCCCTCCCGCCACGTCCCCAACGTAATAATTTTTTTCCCCACTCTTGTTTTCCATAATCATCTTTTCTCCCAAGATCCAGTCTTGGCATTGCCCAAATATGGCCTGTCCTATGTGCAGATCCCTGTATATCCCCTATCAATCCTCTCAAGGGACATCATAATTGACCAAATCAATAAATGCATTTTGAACCTTATTCCTTTGATATGCGGGCCTATAAACAGACTTAACACTTAAGCCACATATACAAAGCACACAGATCGATTCTCACCCATCCTTGAGTCTCCAAATGGTCTAAATAAAACACCTTTTCGGTAATATGAAAAAACACATTATTATTGTAAGCCAGCCATGGCTGTTTTACGATGGCCAGAGATACAGATATTTTAAATAAATAAGAAGAATAAATACACCGTGCTACATTACAACAAAGAAGGCCCATTGTGGCATTGCAGAATGTGTGAATGCAGTAAGCTGACATATTTTGTTTAGGTTTTTTTTAACAAATCATGGTTGGCGAGCTTTCTAACTTGACTGGACCGCCAGGAGAAAGTCAGGGTAAAACAGTTGCATATTATAGGACTCCATAAACCCTAATTCCCACCACGGAAGAGTGGATGGTAAAGATGATGGAGCTAGCAGAGACGGTGAAATTGATTATTTTAAATAAAAAAAATGTATCTAGTTT